GTTAAGGGGTTCAGGAGGGTCCCGGTGCACTGGGCCGGCTGGCGGTTAAGGGGTTCAGGAGGGTCCCGGTGCACTGGGCCGGCCTGGTTTCAGCGGGGCTGAGCTGGATTGGGGTGGGGTGGGCTCGGGTCAGGTCAGTTTGTTTCCGCTGTGTGGATGTCGACCCTGTCCCAGCTGGTTAGGTTCAGCCCCTAAGGGCTGGCCCGGGCTCCCCCCGTCCCTTCAGTGGGGTGCTCCTCCCGTCCCGTCCACGCAGGAGATCAGCTCCTGTTCGCCGCTGTGGGCTTGCTTGGCGTTCAGTCAGTTCCGCTTGGCCGCCTCCCGGGGTTGGGTTTTGTCCAGGCAGGTTCAGTCCCGCGCGTTTCCGCTCCGCGATCCGGAGAGTGTGGAAACCGGGCGCCTTCTGCAGTTGCGGGGACGGGGCTGGGGCGGGGCCGGGCCTCCGGAGTCCAGTCTTCCCCTGTGACCTCCTGAGCCCGTGGAATGTCGGCAGCGCCCCTCCTCGCCCTCCTCCTGCGCCTCAGTCGTGATGGGGCGAGCCCTGCTCCCCGCCAATGGCTCCCCGACTCCTCTCAGGCCAAGAAGGGCGAGGTCCCCCCGGAGGAGCAGGGCCCCAGCATCAAGAACCTCGACTTCTGGTCCAAGCTCATCACCCTCATCGTGTCCATCATTGAGGAGGACAAGAACTCCTACACCCCCTGCCTCAACCAGTGAGTGCGTGCGTGTGCGTGCGCGCCACAAACTTGTGTCTCATGTGTGAAGGTGATCATGTTCGGTGCACATGAATGCGTACGTGGAAATATTTGAAGTCTGCTGTACGTGTGTGTGAAATTCAGATATGCACATAATTCACAAAGGTAAACATAAAATTGCGCCTATATACGCAATCACTGGTGGAATTAAACAAGTATTTTTTTTTTGGTACTGGTAATCAAACTCACAACCTTGTGCTTCCCAGGCAGGCACTGTGCCATTGAGCTATATCCCCAGCTAAACAAGTACTCTGTACATGTGTGATTGTATGAATAATGACATATGTGTGTACAATGTTTATGTGTGTGTGTGCGTTCATAAATAACAGCACTGTTACTTGAGTACTTTTTTTTGTTACCAAGAATACTCAAGTATTTTCTATGGGCTACTCTACCAAATACTTTACATTTAAATTATGTATTGGCCCGGTGTGGTAATACACACCTGAAATCTCAGCACTCAGGCTGAGGCAGGAGGATCATTGCAAATTCAAGACCAGCCTGGGCTACAAAGTGAGCTCAAGGCCAGCCTGAACTGTATAGTGAGACCCTGTCTCAAAAAGACAATCAATCAATAAATTATGTTTTATCTGACGTGTGGGTATATATGATTTTATGCATGGTTGCAGTCCACAGGTTTAAGTGTATATAATTGTGGAATGCACTTTAATATACAATATTATGCAAGAGATGGTGTAATACAGTATGCAGTACTGAGTGTGTGTGTGTCTGTGTGCGTGCACAGTTTCTGTTTGTGCATTTGTGTATCTGTAGTATTCATCTGTGTTAGCTGAATGAGCTATTGGGTTGTTTTGTTTGTTTGGAGTTTTTTATTGTACTTTTTGAGACAGGGACCCCCTGTGCAGTTCAGGCTGGCCTCAAGCTCACTTTGTAGCCCAGGCTGGTCTCGAACTTGCAATAATCCTCCTGCCTCAGCCTCCCGAGTGCTGCAATTACAGGCGTGCGCCACCACGCCCAGCTTGAGCTGTTGGGTTTTATTTCTGCCCGACACAAGCACTAGAGAGGCCCCTGAACTTGGGGTGTTAACATCTGTTGGTTGCTTAGTGATCAGAGATTTAAACAGGTGGACTGAAGAGTGGAGTGCATGGGTGGATGGATGGACAGATGCACAGGTGGAAAAGTGAGTGGACAGAAAGATAGATGGAGAAATGGGTGGATAAATGATCAAATAAATACAGATAAACGTATGGACGGATGGATAGGAGGAGGGATGAATGGGTAGACAGGTGGATGTTCAGACCATGGCTGGGTGGATGAAGGGGCCGATGGACAGGCGGGTGGGCAGGAGCTCACGCAGAAGCGAGGCCTCTGCGCAGTCACTCAGCACTTTGGCGGCCCTGAGGGAAGCTGAAAGCGGCCTCCCGGCCCGCGTGTGCTGCCCTGCGCCCGGCTTCTGTCCATCAGCTCCACGTTACCGTGACCTTTGCCAGGTTTCCCCAAGAGCTGAATGTGGGAAAGATCAGTGCCGAGGTGATGTGGAATCTGTTTGCCCAAGACATGAAGTATGCCATGGAGGGTGAGTCCAGGGACCCCACAGCCCCGGCCCGGCGGCCGCAGGTCCCCGTGCCTCCGCGCCCCTCTCAGCGGCAGCCTGAACACGGGCTGAGCCACGCGTCTGCCTCCAGAGCACGACAAGCACCGCCTGTGCAAGAGCGCCGACTACATGAACCTGCACTTCAAAGTCAAGTGGCTCTACAACGAGTACGTGGCCGAGCTGCCGGCCTTCAAGGACCGTGTGCCTGAGTACCCCACGTAAGTCCCCCGCCCGGCCGGGCCGAGCGGGCCGGGTGCTGACAGCCGGAAGGTGCCCCAGAGGAGGGCAGAGCTGCTCAGCGCCCTTGGCGCCAGGGGCGCAGCTGGGCCTCTAGACCAGTGTCCTTGAGCCAGCTTGGGGCTGCAGACTCTGAGACCCCAGAAAGTCACGGTCACAGGGGACGGCCCTGGGGGACCGGCCCACGCACATTTTCTCTGTTGGTCCTCTTGCCGGTCTGTGACGTGAGGTGACAGTGCTATAATCTTCATTTTGTGGATGAGGAAATGGAGGCCTTAAAAGATACCAAGCATCTGGACACGGTGGTGCAGGCCTGTAATCCCAGCTACTCAGGAGGCTGAGGCAGGAGGGTTACAAATTCCAGCCCAACCCAGGCAATTTAACAACTTAATGAGACCCTGTCTCAAAATAAAAATGAAAATAAAAAGGTCTAGAATGTAGCTCAGTGTGAAGGTCCTGGGTGCTCTCCCCAGTACCCCACCACACACACACACACATACACACGGATTCAGCACTCCAAACGTCCAGGCATGGCAGCGCAGGGCTATAACTCCAACTATGGGGTGCTGAAGCATGAAGATCGCAAGTTTGACCCTGCCTGGGCAGCTTAGCAAGACCCTGTCTCAAAATAAAATTTTAAAAAGGGCTAGGAAAAACCAAAAATAAATAAATAAATAAATAATAAAACGGGGCTGGGGATTTAGCTCAGCTGCACAGCACCTGCCCAGCAAGCGCAAGGTCGTGAGTTCAAGTTCCGGTACCGGAAAAAAACCAAAAAATAAATAAATAAATAAAAAGGGCTAGGAGTGTAGATCAGCTCTCCCTGGTTCAATTCCCAGTATCCCCCCACACACACTGACATACACAATGACACTTACATACATTCACACACACATTCACACTTATTCACACACACAGACACATTCACACACACATTCATACATACATTCACACACACATTCGCACACATACGTTTTCACCCACATTCACACGTACTCATACACATTCACATTACACACACTTTCAGGTTCACACACACATTCATATTTACACACACTCACACATACACATTCACACTTACACATTTTTTTTTTCTTTTTTTTTGTCTTTTTGAGACAGGGTCTCGCTATGCAGTTCAGGCTAGCCCTGAGCTCACTTTGTACCCCAGGCTGGTCTTGAACTCCCAAAGATACTCCTGCCTCGGCCTCCCAAGTGCTGGGATTACAGGCGTGTGCCACAACGCCAGGCCCAAGTGTCCTTTTTTTTTTTTTTTGGTTTTTTTCCGGTACCGGGAACTGAACTCACGACCTTGAGCTTGCCAGGCAGGCGCTATGCCACTGAGCTAAATCCCCAGCCCCACACTGACACATTTATGCACACATTTTTATGCATATACACATTCACACACACTCACACACACACTCACGCGCACACACTATACCAAGTGACTGGCTAAAGTAAGGTGAGGGACAGAGCCCGGATATGAGCCTGGGTGTCGGGTGCCGGGCTGTGCTGTAGGACAGGATGGCTGGTGGCCGCCTGCTGCTGAGGACTCTTGCATGGTGCGGCATCCCTGTGTCTACGGGAGGGTTCCAGGCGCCCTGTGGGTGCCGAAGTCCAAGCACGCACAGGTCCCTTCTGCAGAGTGTCGGTGTGTACATAAAAGTGCGTGCATCACCCTGCTCACCCGGGGCCGCCCTGGGTGACGGGACCCCCGGAGCGCCCGTGTGGTGCGAGGTGTCAGGGCACAGTGCCGGGACCGTGACAAGAAGAAAGTCGCCTCATTCCGACAAATGCAGTGTTTACAAACATTTCCAAGCCACAGTCGGTTGAACCTGGGGCCGTGGAGCCCACAGGTGCAGCGGGCCAGTTGTCCAGGAAACGAGACTGTGGAAGGTAAACCGCGCGCCGCTGGCCGCTCTGACAGGGTGGCCCGGGTCTGAGCTTCGCTGCTCTGCGGCGCTCAGTGCGTTCCTCGGATGAGATCAGCGAGGCCCAGCGGGGAGGGCGGAGGAGAGGCCTCCGGGGCCGCAGCGGAGCGCGGGTCCACCCAGGACTGCTCAGAGCCAGGCCGTGCAGCGGTGCGGGAGACGCGGCCGCGACGCCCTGCCCTGGCTGCTGTTTCAGGTGGTTCGAGCCCTTCGTCATCCAGTGGCTGGATGAGAACGAGGAGGTGTCCCGGGACTTCCTGCACGGCGCCCTGGAGCGGGACAAGAAGGACGGGGTGAGGCGCTGCCCCTGACCAAGCCCCCAGTTTGCCCACAGTGACCTCAGCCCCTCTGGAGTCCAGGGGGTCCAGTCTGAGGGCAAAGATTGCTCTCGAAGAGAAGCCAGTCTCTGATAAGTGTCGGCCATCTTGGTCTCTGATAAACGTCCGCCATCTTGGTCTCTCAGAGTGTCCACTATCGTGGTCTTGCTCATGGTTTTTACAGTCTTTTGTTCATTCAACACCTGTGGAAAGTGAGTTCCTCAAGCCTGACCCCTCTACCCACCTACAGCCTTGGAGTCCACCTCTGAATCACCTCACACTGCACTCGCCCTGGGTCCTCGGCACCCGGCCACCCCACGGAGCTTAGGCGGGGTGGGCTGGGGGCCTGCCTGGCTCTGACACCCCCCCGACTCCCCGCCACAGTTCCAGCAGACCTCAGAGCACGCCCTGTTCTCCTGCTCCGTGGTGGACGTCTTCTCCCAGCTCAACCAGAGCTTTGAGATCATCAAGAAGCTCGAGTGCCCCGACCCCCAGATCGTGGGGCACTACATGAGGCGCTTTGCCAAGGTGTGGGTGCGGGCAGGGCTGGGCAAGGCCGTGGGGCAGGGCGGAGCTGAAGTCAGGGCTGGGGTGAGGTTACAGGCTGGGGCTGGGGATATCGGGCGGTGGGAGCTGCGGTGGGGTTGGGGTTGAGCCGGTGACACTGAGGTTGAGGTTGGAATGTGGGCTTAGGTTGGGTTGGGGTTGAGGTCAGGGCTAAGGTGGGGGGCAGGGGTGGGATCTGGAGTCGATGGGGGTGCAGGGTGGGTTGGGGTTGACGCGAGTGGAAGGCAGCACTGGAGCTGGGTGGTGTCGCTGAGTCGGGTCCACGGGAGGTGAGGTGGTCGGGCACTCAGGTCGGGGCTCAGGTCATCTACGTAGCTGGCAGCGACATTTGCTCAAGTTGAGACTGGCATCCGAGATGGTCAGGGCTAGGTTTCGGGGTCCTCGGGGTGGGGTTTCCAGTGCACTGCCACTGGTGTGAGTGACGGGATTATGCAGAACTAGGCTTGGCTCTGGGTGAGCTTGGAATCGCTGGGCTAGGGTTGGAGCTGAACTGGATTGTCACCAGCTTGGGTTGATGTTGGGGATTTCAGGTCACCTCTGACATTCAGTTTGGGATCAGGCCATGCTTGTGACTGGGGCTAGGCTAATGGGATGGTCAGCTGCTTCAGTGAGGAGCAGGACCTGCTGGGTACAACGGTCTCCGTCTGCTGCTGTCCCCGTGTCCTCATAGTTGTCCTGGGTGGACGGCTCACTGGGCCCGGTGTCCGTCTTAGGCACCGTGAGATTCAAATTCACCCGTGGTCTCCCCAGTGGTCTTGTTGGGACCCGGTGACCAGGGCCCACCCAGGGCTCTGCCCTCCTCACCTCCTGTCTCCCCCTCAGACCATCAGCAACGTGCTCCTCCAGTACGCAGACATCATCTCCAAGGACTTCGCCTCCTACTGCTCCAAGGAGAAGGAGAAAGTGGTGACCTGCGGCGCCCCTTCCACCCCGCCCAGCGTCCCTAGGGTCCCTCCACCTGCCCACCCCGCCCAGCGTCCCTAGGGTCCCTCCACCTGCCCACCCCGCCCAGCGTCCCTAGGGTCCCTGCTCCCCGGGGCTCCGACGTCGATCTGTGTGTCCACCCATGTGAGATCAGACTGCATTGACTGGATGTGTAGAATCGTGTGTTTGTCTGGCGTGTCGGTGTGTGTGTGTCCGTGTGTGTGTCCGGGTGAGTGGGATGAGTGCATGTCTTTGTGGTCTCATGTTGATTGGCACACTGTGAGTGTGTCTCTGACTGCAAGTGTGAGTGTGTATGTCCGGTTGTGTTCAGTGCTGGAGGGTGTGTGTGTGTGTGTGATTCACTAGGGGGTGAGTGTGTGTCTGGCTGTGTTGAACGGGTGTCATGTGCATGTGTGGCTGGGCAGGCGTGATGTGTGTGTCTGTGTGTCTGGCTGTGTTTGTGGGGATCCTGCGTGTGTGCACGGTGGGGGAGGGCGCACACCTCCACGTGTCCCTGCTGCTGCCAGGGAGCCCTTGGGATGTCGTGAGCATGCAAAGCTTTGGCCGTGCAGGAGAGTTAGTGGGGACAAGGTCGCCCCTGCTCTAGATCCCCCAGGCCCAGCTGGGGCCCGGGAAAATGACCCAAGTCCTTCCTCCGGCCCCAGAGAGCCCCTCCCTGCACCCCAGGAGCCTGCGCCCAAGCGTTCTTGTGGATCTCCAGGGGACCCTGAGGGACCCCTGTGTCCAGACCCCCCTTGACTCTGTCCAGGGCCCTGGGTGGACGGGTGGGAGGCCCTGCACAGCGGTCTGAGCCTTGCTTCCTCTGTCACCCCCAGCCCTGCATCCTCATGAACAACACCCAGCAGCTCCGGGTGCAGCTGGAGAAGATGTTCGAGGCCATGGGAGGGAAGGAGGTGAGGCGGCGGCTCACCCCACGCCCAGGCCCGGCAGACAGCGGGGGGCTCACGGTGTGCAGTGGGCACACTGCAGCCCCGCATTCACGAGGCCGAGGCAGGGCTCACACACTGCAGGCCCGCCGGAGCTCCACACGGCAGCACGGCGAAGTTGGCGGCTTTCCCACCACGCCCCGGTTTCCCTGAGCCCCTCCACGCCCTCTCCCGAGGCCAGATAAGGCCTCGCCCAGGACCTGGGGGTGGTCAGTTAGCCACGACCAGCGTCTCTCCCTCCCAGCTCGACACGGAGGCCAGCGACATCCTGAAGGAGCTTCAAGTGAAACTCAACAACGTGCTGGACGAGCTCAGCCGGGTGTTCGCGACCAGGTGGGCAGCCCATCCACCTGTCTGAGCCTCCCTGTGTGCATCCATGGATGGACGTGTTGACAGACGGGTGGATGAGTGGAAGCAGGGGTGACAGCAACCAAGCAGGACCCACGGTGAAACAAACGCACAGACCCTGGCTCATGTCCACTCCGCCGTCCACGCTCCCCGCCCGGGCCGGTTCTGGGCCCTCGCTCCCTGGCCCTGGGCACACGAGCTCCCGGCATCCTGCTCCAGCTCCTCCTCTGTGCTCCAGCTTCCAGCCACACATCGAAGAGTGCGTCAAGCAGATGGGCGACATCCTCAGCCAGGTGAAGGGCACGGGCAACGTGCCCGCCAGCGCCTGCAGCAGCGTGGCCCAGGACGCGGACAACGTGCTGCAGCCCATCATGGACCTGCTGGACAGCAAGTGAGTGAGCAGGGCCGGGCGGGCCGCCGAGCCCCAGGGCCTGGGGCCTTGGCTGGTGTGGTCGGGGAGAGCATGGAAAGGCAGAGGGCTGGACACCTGGGAGGACGGGCAGAAATGTGTGCACCGAGGAATGGAGGGGCTCCATGCTAAGTGACAAAGGGGAAGGGCAGGGGAACGGAGGAATGGATTAAAAGTGAAACACTTAGAAGTCTAGATGGAGGAGAGGTGGGTAGAGATGGACAGATTGACAGGTAGATGAGTGGATGGACAGGTTGACAGACAGGTGGATGAGTGGATGGATGGGCTGACAGACATGTGGATGACTGGAAGGATGGGTTGACAGACGGGTGAATGAGTGACTGGATGGTTTGACAGACAGATAGATGAGTGAGTGGACGGGTTGACAGGTGGATCAGTGGATGGACAGGTTGACAGATGGGTGGATGAGTGAATGGACGGGTTGACAGGTAGATGAGTGGGTGGACGGGTTGACAGGTAGATGAGTGGGTGGACGGGTTGACAGACGGGTGGATGAGTGGATGGATGGGTTGACAGACGGGTGGATGAGTGGGTGGACGGGTTGACAGACAGGTGGATGAGTGGATGGACGGGTTGACAGACAGGTGGATGAGTGGATGGACGGGTTGACAGACAGGTGGATGAGTGAATGGACGGGTTGACAGACAGGTGGATGAGTGGATGGACGGGTTGACAGACAGGTGGATGAGTGGATGGACGGGTTGACAGACAGGTGGATGAGTGGGTGGA